GGATCGAATGTCTCCGTTCTATCCTTCAGGAAAGGGCAACGGTAGTGCATTAAATTGAAAAATAGTCGAGTCCTCGATTCCAGTTCCAATGCCCTTTCCACCACCACTCAGCACTCTCTCACCACTTCCACCACCACTGAGTCTGTTCAGTGGTTTATTCTGTCCGGGGCAAAATGTATATTTAATCGTAGGTACAGTTCAGTAGTCACAGTTGTAGTCTAATACTCCACACACCATAGTCAACGAAAGGAGGGCCATAAACAAGTCCGTCGATACTTTTTAAAATTCAATTGGCAGTTTTTTTGCTCGATGTCGATCTGTACGCTTTGCATAGAGTACAGATTTCTATTTTCCATTCAAAGTCAATATTTTAGGCCTTCCCCCTTCCCACGGAGAGACAAGACCATTGAGCGAGATGAGGTCTGCGGCTCTTCATGTCGAAATTTGACACGATAGTTTTTGTTCTAGTTCGGTCTGAGTCTTTTGGATTAATCTACATCTTCACCAGAACAAGTTTAACGGTACATCATTTATCTTAATTGGTTGTGTGTTTTTGACGCAGGTTGGTCTGAGTGTTTCGGTCGTTTATCTCTCGAGAGCCAGAGACGCACACGTTGTTGACATGCAACGTGTCCCCATAATCTCACTGACGACCGAGTCGACGTCACAGATAAACCGGCTCTGCAGGAGACTTAATTTCTTTTTTTGGTACCAGGACTGAAGCATTTTGTCCTGTACATCACCTGCTATGTCGCCGATCCAGTGGTTGGATTCATTGCAATAAGGGTTATACAATTTTATTTCTACGAATTTGCCTTTCTAAATGTGTCATTCTACCAATGGATTATCAAACGTAACATTTAATTGTTTCAGTGAGGGCCTGGAATAAACGGCAAGCGATGCCATGATTTCCATTCGCTGGTGGAAGAACTTACCGCTTCGTCAGTACCGAATCGTAATCTCCTCTTCATATTCGCAGCTGTTGTTTCCTTCTTTTGCGTCGCAATTTACATTACTATACTTCATAGTCGTGCCTCTGAAATTCCAACAGGAGAGATTTCTAACTTCATTTTCTATGAAACTCAACCAGACGAAAATGCACGATACTGAAGGGGTTTTTGTATTTTCCTCATTAGACCCGAACCAATGACCCTGAAAGGCTCACCACCAAAAGCCCACTCTCCTTCCACTTCCATCTTATCGGTTTAACAACATTTGCAGGTTACAAATGTTGTTACATTGGCATTGTCAAGTTTTTCCCTATTAAGGTGTCGCTGTCCCAGTAATAAACTGAGTTAATCTACAATATTCTCCTGGAGAGAAAACTTGGCATATCTGAAGAAGCACTTTAGTCAATATTGGACTGAATAAACTGCAATTGAGGGTGAAAACACGGACATCTCAGAGCATTTCAGTTCGCCGCTGACTCACGAAGACCATGGAGTGCATGCAGTTGAGGGATGGGAGAATGCATTGAGGTCGGCGATGAAAAAATTCGAGGCATCGATTTTCCCTGCTGTTCCTTAATCGTAGAGAAAGCTGGCGAAAGATCCCCAGCTTGATGGATTTTTCTCCTCCGTAAACGACCCACTACTAGAGGATGCAATTTAGTACAGATACAAAATACAGGGTCCTTCGTCTTCGCAGATCCAATACTTGTATTCATCCAGTCTATCCTTGGCCAAGTGACATTCTAGTGTCTCTCCGACCCCATATGTAATGTTCTTCCCTTGTTTGTTGAGTTCTCTTTGAAGGTCGGCTTCAGTGGACGCCTCTACGGCTCCAGATGCACCTCATCCCGATTTACAATTTGTTTTCAGTTTTCTTTTCCAAGCCTTTCAGTCCTTTGAGTTACTTGCAACAAGTCTTTCATGTTTTTCTAGTAAGACACTCTCCAATGAAATTGAAGTGGTTTCGTGCACTTAGGACTGTCTGCGGATCGCCTTTGCGAATTCGACTGTATCATCTTTCTTCCATCGGAGAAATTTATGCAGATTGTGGATCTCATGCTTTATTACTCAGACATAGAGGCGCTTTTGCATCGATGTCTCATGGAAATACCATAGAAGAGCAGGGAAGTCCCTCAGCCTCTTTCCGAGGAGGCAACAGCTGAGAAATTGAGCAAATTTGTCAACACTCATTCTGAAGATTCATCTTGAAAAGGAGTCTTATCTTGCGAATGGGAGAGTTTGCATAAATTCTTTCTGATCTACCACAGAATCAGTATTTGCGATTTATTTATTTTGTTGCATATTGGTCCAAAGCATATTCTTCTCGATATTATTGTCAGCGAAACAGTCTCAAAGTTCTTTCCTGGAGGAAACATTTTGGAATATTAAAAATAAATCAATTAAAAGGGGAAAAAACTGAGGGGAAAAGAAGACGGAAAGTTACGATTAAAGTGGCCATATGTCTCGGTCAGCAATTTGAAACGAGAAACGTCCTTAAGTTGTCGGGTCGAAGTAGGGCGGTGTCGCAATTTCAGGATGACCATCCCATATGACCATCATAGCTGACCCGGGGAATTCCAATCACTACTGCCAAGGCCTCTCGTTTCCCAGAAGAGAACGGGGAAGGAAAAGAAGAGAAGGTTAGGGGACGCCTAGAAAGGCGACATGATGACAAGATCACTGCAGACGATAGGCTGACCGACGTCAGTCAGGGACATTCTTCGTCCTGACCTCCAGTATAAATACAGAACGCCCGACTGGATCAGTCGATCACCTGCAAGTCGACCATTGAAAATAGCCTTGATATTTGTGCGTTCATCTACCGTCTGAGGGTTTCCGCAGCGACTTAGTACCTGCAAAATGAAACTCGTAAGTTTCATATTCTTTGTCATTGAAATGAGGCATTTCCGCATAGACCATGTTTCTACTGCTGTATGTGCTGGGGGGGGGTGTAACGGGTAGCTGTTTAAATATAATAAAAAGCGTGTACGGGAGGATACTTCAGCAAATTCCAGTCTTACATCTTTGAGACATCGGTTGGACGTCACAGTGGGATCGATTGCCCGAGTACTCAGGGCGAGAAGCAAAAAAGTTAATGACATATGGTTTATCATGTATGCGATGATTACTCATAATTTGCTAGGTTAGCTGGAGAATTATGTTTGCTCACCTTCGGATCAAGCGGACTCATACTGGTTTTGAACTGAGATTTTTTATTGTAAACTCGAACAGCCAAACTCTAAATTGGAAAGTCTCTGACAACAACGCAATTCAAGTTCTCATAAAGATATCATAAAGGCAAACGTTTCCTCGGTTCATATCTAGTTCAATCCAACTAATGTGAGGAAAAGATTGACGTCATCAACGGAAACAAGAGTTATGACTCGTCCTCAGAGTGTTCGTTTGCTAATCACTAGAGATATGGGAACACTGCGTCAAGGCTAAAGTGGAACAGAACTCGCAAGCCAGCCAGTCTCTTTCTGAACGTAAACAATTATTTCAATAGGATAATTGAGAATATTTGTCTAAATTTATACCACATGCAGAAAAGGATAAGATCTGACTTTTGACAACATTTTACTTCTTGATGAACAACTTGTTTATTTCTGTTTCTCGGTGAAGACAGAACGTAATCTCTACCATCGCAAGAAACAAAAAATATCAGTTCTTAAAAAGTACGGAGAGTCAATAAATATTCACGAGTTCCCTTGTGCAAGTGGCAAGTTGACCCACTATCTCGTAAATTCTCCGAATTGGATATACTTTTTTTTGCTCCTCATTTGGTTGGCGTGTCATTGTTTCTACGATAAAATCATTAGACTAAAAATCACGAGCACTGAATTCTCTCCACGCAATAGCATTGATACATTTGAATAGGGGAAACAAGTTGAGGAAACCTATGGAGGACAGGAAAGGACTTGCTACTAGATAGAAAGAGATTGGACCTTCTGGGAAGTCAAGGAAAGAGGCCCTCGAGCCTATGATATCTTGTATCCAATTTTGGCTGTCATATGTCAGTTCGACCGGTTGTTTTTTTTTTTCGGTACATTCACTCTTCGCAAGAATGAGATAAAGTTCTTATGCTGAGGAAGAGTTCCAAGGAGGACAGGTTGATAAGGCATACGCAAGATGCGGAGGAGGGGTGTTCTCTAGGACACACCACATTCTGTCCTCCGCATTCTGAGAACTGTTTATCACGATGTCCTCTTTTTTTCTATTAGTTATTCACTGTCTGTCGCATGCTCACATATCGTCACCTCAGTTCATCTGAAAATTTAGAGAACGAAAACTGTCCTAATTCCATAGCAACTATCTATCGATACCTAAAAGACACGTCCTGGCGATGAGTTGCTGTTGCATTCAACAATAGCAATGTAGGGCCGTCTCGAAACGAAAATGTTAAAAGTTAAGCATATAATCTTGAGAAGGTGCTGAATTTTGACGTTATTTCTTGCTAATTTGCTCGACTTGCAGATAGAATCCTATTGAACTGACGTGACCATATAGCACTCTGCTAGAGGTCTTTCTGTCAATGTACCTGTTGCTTCTGGTGCCACAGACATGAGTCATTTCTTAACTACTTCGATGCAGATTGACTTCTACAGTGCAAAACTACACATTTTTGGTACCTTTAAGGCAACCTTGTCATACGATCTTCTGCACATCCTCCTTCATCTTTAAGCTTACCTCATACCTGAATGCTCTAATACTCGATTTCTTGAAGCATGCAGCTCCAGCTTTTCTTCAACATAGTCATTCTTGCTCTTTTTGCTTTCGAGTTGTTTTGCTTGGTCCATGTCTTTGAACTTTGAACAGCTGCGTTATATGAACAACTTCTTTCGGTTTTGAGAACCACAATGATATCTGTATGATATCTGTATGCTCCTCAAATCGCCATGCCAACTATCCTGATCATTTTTCGTAAAATATGCTGCCATGAAACATCATCGAATCGCCGACTCACGAGGATCAGGACAAAATAAGATATGTTGAAGGAAACTTTATCAAGCAAGATGAAACCTTGCACATACATACACACATTTGTAAAATATGCAGGTTGGTTCAAAGAAAAGGACACGATTAGATAATTCTATTACTACATTCGAATTCCTCAGTGAAGTTTAAAACAAAGTCGTTGTAAACTAAACTAGTGGAAGCTCGACTCAAATACGTAGCAGCGACGAAATCCATGAACAAAAATTCATAGGCTTCACTGCAGACAGCCTTCTCATTAATGAATCGGTAGCTGGAAACACCTACAATTGAGAGAGCGAGTGTTGCATGAAACTTCTCTCACCCATCACTGCTGCTTCTCTCACACATCAGGCAATGCTGTAAAGAATAAACGATTTATGCATCTGGAAGAAGTCGAGACGTTAAAAACCTGTATTTTCCTAATGTATCTTACTTTAAAGAGGATCCACTAATGAATGTTATCCTTGGATACAACCTTCAGTACTTGCCTCCTGTGGGAGTGGAAGGCAACTGACTAAGAATGGACTTGGCCTTCTACCTATTCAGGCTGTTAAACATGTACTTATATTGTGATGGCTAACGAACTTTTCCGCAGTAAGAGAGGCACTCAGCAAGTTTTGGCAGCACATTTTTGTTTTCCTAAAGGCAAAAAGGGAAAAACTTCATATTTGCACATCCCCTCGGGATAGCCTCTACAGCCATCCAAACGTCATTGCATCCTTATCAGCAACTTATTCAGTTGTCCTCAGTTCTCAGACTGAAGTACACTTCACAGCTGTGAATTTGACACTAACTGCCAATCCCGAATGTCCAACATCTATTCCCAGCCAGCCTTGCTTTGAATATTGGGAATAACCATCCAGAAAAATTTCCTTGTAACCACTGGAAAATATGCCAGTATACTTGATGCCAACTATTATGCCCACAGCTGAATCTTCTACCATGTCGCCCAGTAACCTATTCTATTCCTCAAGTATCATTTTGGAGAAAATCCCTCTCACAATCTTACCTGCCCGTAGCTATTTAATTTTGAGCAATGCCCTCTTTTTTTGTCTTGTTTTAAAAAAAGTTTTTCATTTAATTTGTGATTCCTCGGTCGTGCGCAGTACAGGGAAGTTTCGGCTAAGCTGATCAATAATTTTTTTAACGGAATTGTGCAGGTGTTGGGATTGCTGGGACTCATGTGCTTGGTGGCCCTGGCCCAGGGGGCAGAGGATCCTGGGAATTCGGCCAAGGATGAAGATCTCGCCCCCGCCGAATCCGCTAATCTAGGACTCGGATTAGGAGTCTTGGGAGGCTTGGGAGGCTTGGGAGGTTTGGGAGGCTATCCGGGCTATGCAGGTACTTCTCAGTTGTACTTTGTGTTTCATGGTTGTCAGTCTCAACATAGAGCATATATACAGGGTATATTGTGCATCGTTAGTATTTATAGTGATGATAAAGTCCAAAATAATAATGCAATTTTTCAGTATGATGAACAAGCAGAGCAATTCATCATACATTTGCAGGGAAGTTTGCGCACTTTTTGTGCTTACCAACTTTCGAAGTCAATCATGCTGTCATATGAAAGACGAATTTGTGGGAGGAAACGCTGGACATGAACAATGGAATCAGTGGAATTTCCATGTTGCTGCTTCTCCACATTCCGTCCATCCCAGTTCCGGTTGCATCAAAATTATCCTGCCGGTTACAAATTCAAATAACTCTAACTAGAACAAGTTCAGTGCTTGAATCCATAGGCAAAATCAGGGCATTAACTCAGGTGGCTCAAACACGTTGGACCAATGTAAGAAATATGCTGAAAGATGGCATAAGAGATGTGGACCCTCGTAGGCTTGCCCTTCGGCCACGTGTGGGACCAACATGCCTACCTACAATGAGGCTACACGTTTTTCATATGCCCTCTTTCACCCATGAGATTATTTCATTCTTCTGAACTAACAGAATGATCCAACGTGAAAGGATACATGTTAAGCTCATCATGTGCATTTATTTGCATTTCAAGGCTTTCCATCCTGTACAACTGAGGAAATAGGTGAGTTGCATATCATACGAAGTGAAGCCTTTCCATAAGAAATTCCAGCAAAATGTTCCCAGCAACAAGTAAGCATAGTGCCAAGTTAGCAAATGAAATCTTTTAAGTCGGCGATTGCAATCATCCATTGTGGAGAAGACCAGAAGCAAAATACTTGTTTAGAGAGGGATAATATCTTCTAGAGGAAAATGTTGACATTCGCATCAGCAACGATGTGGGGTGGACATTGTCAGTTCACTGCTACGCTGGTTCAGTCTTTCCCACGCTCAGTCATCGCTTTTCAAACATCGTGTGCTGCCTGGGATTGTCTAGTTTCAAACTAAAGAATTTAGACCAGAACATCCTAAGTCATGCGGTAGCTTAAATATTAATAACCGTGAAAAAATTCCACAGGCTTTCCTGCAGGTGTGCGTAAGAATCATTGCTCTTCTTAAAGTAGTGCTGATGCAGGAATAATGAAATTCAGCCGGACCTAAGGGCCCGCATGCTTAACATGAAAAAACCAAAACTATTGAGAAAGGTTGATCCGCTTCCTCTTGGCTTCGACGAACCGTACGAAAAGTCTACTGAGAGCTGCTACCAAGTCGATAACTTCAGTAAAATGTGCTTGTTGATGCGGATACTTATTTTTAATGGTACATAACATTGACATCCAATGTATTTCAAATGGGTCATTCCAATCAACATGATGAACAGATTATTGGCAACTGTAGGAATAAGTACATGCCAAAGGAAGGAAGTGTTAGCCCTGCTAATATCTCATCAGTGTTGCATTCGGTTCTAGAATAACCGATACTCTTTCAAAATTGAATGATTATTTACTTCGGTCAAGTCTTTGTATATATCCAAAGGTCCTCACAGTACTAGAATTTTAAGATGTCATTATTCAAAATCTAGGAATTAGAGAAAATGATTGAGAAATGCATTTTATTTATTTTTTCTGCCATTCTTCCACAGGGTACTACGGTCCATATTATGGATACGGAGGAGGCTGGCCCCAATACGGATACGGAGGTTATCTCTACCGTCCCTATTACGGCTATGGAGGATATTGGCGTTGAGTGCCTATTTTTTTATTTTTTCCTTTCATCACCCATCATCATTTGGTCTCTCACATTCCCATCGCATAATGACATTCAGGTCGCTCAACTACAAAGGACTTTCAGTTTCAGTGACTGCCACAAACGTCGTCGTTTCTGAATAAACGTCCGAGAGCTTTTCGTACCTCTTCGTTCATTCATTTGAATTTCCACGAAGTGTCAAGAAGTGAATTCGTCCACGAGGTAAGATTCAGAATACTCAGAAAGTAATGCAGGTGTGGGCAAAGGGGTCCAGCAGTTCGATGAATTCAAGCTGAATCATCCACGAAGATGCTCCAAAAACAAATGCCACAGAATAAGCATTAGAATCCCCGAGAATGTTTTCCCAATCCTTGAAGTGGTGACGTCACTGCCTGTGGAGTTCCTTGTCCATTGGCGAGCACTCCTGCCTGAATAGGACTGCTTCCACATTTGCGTCTAATGCGGTGATTTGCAAATGAATTCGCACCATGGGCTCTGTAGGCGTAATATCATTTCTATCTTGGGAGAAATTTCCTCACCTTCTTGGATGCACTATAGAAATAGCATTACTCAGTGTAAAAAAAAAAGAATTAAAAAAATGGTATGCAATCGTTTTCAAGTCACCGCAGACCTAGGCGGAGGAAGGGATGAACGCGTTTTCCATGTACAGTGTAAATGCATAGCTCGAGGAAATCTCGTGATTTCTCACTGCGTGCGGCTCCTGACTCTTTTTATTTCCCTAGTCATGTGCATCGGGAATCTTGCTTTTTAGGTTTTCCCCAAGAATAAAAAGTTTAAGGGTGGATTTTGAACAGAGCACTATCCGATAATGCAGCTTTTCTCTGAAAATGCATTTTCAAATGCATTGTCAAAATAATGCATTTTCTCTGAAATAAAGTTGCATTATCAGACAGTGCTCTGAGCTGTTTTCAAGCTCAATGCTCAAATTCCTCATTCAAGAGCCTGAAGATAAGATAGAAATCCTTGTTTGCACAGAGATCTGGATGCAAAGAAGTGCTGGTGGGAGGTATGAGGCGAGGAAAAAAACTTCTGAACTTTTCCTTTTAAGAGGCGATCATCATGTCCTCACGTCCTTGCAATTGACAGATGCGAGTTATATTATCTGGCAACACTTCGGTCACTCATAAACTCCAATTGTAATCTTTTGGAAAAGAGTCACCCGGAATAAAGACCCCCAGAATTGACGAAAGCTGAAAAAGCCACCCAAGGCGAAAGCACGAAAAGTCGCCATGAATACATCAACCCAGCTGTTTTGTGAAACAATGGAACAATGGCTCTTCATCCTGTTCCTGGGATAGTCCTCAATGGTCTTTTCCCGTTCCTTTAAATTTTGAGAACATTGATACAATGCAATCATTCACATTTTCCCCAATTAAAATGTAATGGATCCCAATCAAAGTCGAAGAAAAGCACTTTAACCCTTCCAGACCTGAATTAGGGCCGCTATCGGAATAATATCCTTTTTAGCATTTTTGAGCTCTTTCGTGATTGTAATTGAAATTTTCATGTTTATATGTAATTTTCATATTTTGTATAAATTTACCATATCATACCATATATGATATATTATATATTTATTGTGTTGGAAAGAAAGTCTTGCAACACTCTGCGCAAATTTGTCAAAATTTTCTAACTTTATTGAAATGCAATTTCAGTCTACAATGTAATGATCATTGTTGTCTATGACATGTTCCCAACGCACGGGTAACTGCTCGATGCCCTTTGCCCAGAACTCTGGCGATTGCGAAGCGAAGAAACTGCCGACATCATTTTCGAGCTGTGCTCGACCGTTGAAGGCCTTGTCCCGCAGGTGATTCTCGAGGGCCCGGAACAAGTGATAGTCGGAAGGGGCCAAGTCCGGAGAATACGCTGGATGGGGTAAAACTTCCCAGCCCGGTTCAGAAATTGTCTGGCGAGTCATCTTCGCAACACGTGGACGAGCGTTATCATGCAGAAGGAGAACTTTGTCGCGTTTGGGACGCTCTTTTTGAATGACGCCAGCCAACTTCTGAAGTCGAGCAGCGTAGACGACGGCAGTCACGGTGGTACCGGTTGGCAGGAGCTCATAGTACGACATTCCTTCTGAATCCCACCGACAGCAGAGAAGAACCTTCTTCTCGTGGAATCCTGGTTTCGGTTCGTGTGGCTGCAATTCTCCTCGTGGAAGCCACTGACTCTTGCGAGTATGGTTAACGTAGAGGACCCAGCTCTCATCTCCAGTAACGATTTCCTTCAGAAGGTCCTTTCTGTGCGGACGAAGGAGCAGTGATTCGCAGACACTGACACGACTTGCTTTGTCAGAGTCGCTGAGCCGATGAGGGACCCATGTCGAGTAAACCTTCCGATAGCCGAGGTCGTTCAGATGGTTGCCGATGGCCATATGGGTGACTCCAAGTGTAGTCGCCAATTCGCGAGTGGTGGCGTTCCGCTTCGCGTTGAGGGCGTTCCCCAGGGCTTCGTCAGAAAGTGTTGCAAGACTTTCTTTCCAACCCAATAATTGAATAACTGAAGATTAAAACACTAATAGGTGAAAGAAGGCCTCTGATGGAACTGAGCCATGCATAATTGCGCCCATTTTAACGTAATATGCAGCGCAAAGTCACAAGAATCCTAAGAAATTGCCAAAGACACAATGTAAATGCAATGTCCATTGGAATGGACGCCAGGTCTGAAAGGGTTAATGATATATTACTTAAATATTGATACCCAACCAACTTGATTCTGACTATGTGCTAAAAAAAAGAAGGAAAAGGAGAGCCTCCGTGGATGTGATGAACAGAGGGTGAGCATTCTCCCTCGAGGAATCCAAGTCTAGACAGGGGAGGAAGGGAAGGAGGAACACGAAGAAACCAGACAGCGAAGGAGAAGTCCTTTTTCCTTCCTAGGTTTGGAAAGAACAACTTTATTCGGGAATGACTTGTGTATTCATTGACCTGTTCGTGTCTAAAACGCATAAATCGGCAGTGTAAACTCTCCCGATTGCGTCGTGCACATTTCTTTTCAAAAATGTTACTGAGTTATTGTGCCGAAGACGCACCTCGAGCAGCAGCACGGCGGCAATCAGCAATGGGAGCTGATAGAGAGCCTAAGATATCTCTTAATCTCTGATTGAATAGAAAGGGTAATAGAAGTTAATTCAACGGGACTGGTATTGGGGGATCACTCTTCGGTGAGCCATCCAGTTTTCCACGATGAAGACAGCTTCGTTTTTTCTGGTCCAATCACGGCACACTCATTTCATCCAGAAAGTTCCCTAATACAGTATATCTATAGTGATAACTCCGTGCAGCATCTTCGAATGTACAAGTCCATGTGTAGGAGAAATAGAGGTGGGAACATGACTAGAGTCGTGTTTCCACTTCGTCGAATAATAATACAGTCCGGTCTCGTCGCTGAAAAGATAGGAGAAAAGCAAGCAGCAAACAAACGTCAATGAGGAAATCGAAATAGAAACCCTCGTAGGAGGAATTCAATCGCTACCTCGTATCAGAAATTCAATCACTTCACAGGTTGTTGGTTCATACGTTCATGTTGGCTGTTGTATCGAAAAAAACGCCAATATCTCTTTCTTGTAGAAGGGTAAGGATTCAAATATTGATTGATCCTGTCCGCACGCAAAACCCGAGTTTCCTTGCGCTCTGGTGCTCATGAGGAATTTTACTTGGTGTTCCTCTCGATCCGATGAGCCATCTTGGAGGCAGTACTCATCTCTTTCTTCGAGGATGCCCCTATATGCATACTGAACAGAAAACCTGCTCTGACATTTTGTCGCAGACAGTTCAGAGAAGAGAGGTAATCCTGAGGGAAGTAGTTCTTTCCATGTTGAGGTTGGGAAATGGAATTTGTCTCCATTGTCTAGTTTCTGATTGCCTTCCTTTCATCCACTGCCTGGGTACGAATTCCTCGAAAGGAAATGCTCACCCTCTGCTCATCACGTCCATGAAGAAGGTTCTCCCTTTTCAGTACATGGGGTCAGAATCGGTATACAGTCGTCCCTCGCCACTTCGCGCTTCGACTTTCGCGGCTTCACTCTATCGCGGTTTTTTCAAATACCTGTATATTGGGTAATACGAGTGTAATGGTGACTAAAGAGAGTTATTTGATGTCTAGAGGGCTCTATCATTACACTCGTATTACCCAATATACAGGTATTTGAAAAAACCGCGATAGAGTGAAGCCGCGAAAGTCGAAGCGCGAAGTGGCGAGGGACGACTGTATTTGGTTTGGTATATTTGAGGTTCTGCAATTGCATACAAGGCAATTTGCTTAGCCATAGCCATAATTTAATGTAATGGATGCTACAACACCCTGTGCATACATCGCGAAGTCAAGAGTACAAATTTAATTTTTAAATTGCAAATTACAAACATCAACAGAGTTAGAATAATGCACGAAAATGATTAAATATAAAGTTTTTTATTTAAATAATTATATAATGTTAAATCTTGTAAAAATTTTCTGTGGTTTTCATCTCGGGTGGCTTTTTTTTTTCTTTTCGCCAATTCTGGGGGGTCTTTCTTCCGGGAGGCTTCTTGTACTGACTTGCTCTGATCCTGCGATGAGTGCATGAGGTTGAAGGATGGAAACACACTAGACGAAACATTTTCGCTTTAGCTCATTTTCGTTAAATATTCCTGATATTTTCTTGACTCAGTTGAGAATTGTGAAAGCATTTCAGTGAAAATAATATGGCATGAATGTCCTACCGACAATTCTAATTAATTTTGAAAGTAAATAAAACTTTACGTTAAATGGGCATGTCGCCCCCCCACCCCCCACCCCCGCACCCCTCGGGCTGGCGTAGCGCCTCCCAGTAAGAGAATCGCTGCTGTTAGGGACTTATTCCGCTGTGGGAGAACTACTCGATAGGTGATAGGAGAATAGGAACAATCGGTAATTGGCCATTGAAAGGCGTTTTTCAATATTGGTGTCGTATTTCCCTTCAATAAATCCTCCTTGATGAAAAATTAGATCCCATAACTTCGGAATCCGGATGATGAAACTAAAATCTGTGAAACAATCTCTGCTTCCCCACATTCCTCCGTTGCAATGGGATAGGATCCTTCTACTTCTTGTTAAATCAATAAACGAACCACCTCGACTCTGCCCTCCCACTCACTGGATGCAGGCCATGCCATGGAT